TATTTCTTACACTTTATAAAGTGAAAGTATTTCTTACACTTTGTAAAATGGAACTTTTACTTACACTTTATAAAGTGGAAAAAAAACTTACACTTTACAAAAAGGAATATTTTTCACGTTTTGCTCTCTTTATGAAGTTTTTGTCGTGTTTGTCATACAATTAAGATATTTTTCCTATATATGTAAAAGAATATAAATATTTATCACATGCAATTAACTTATTTAAATAAAAAATCAAGTGTTGGATATAATAATAATCATTTGCATAAAAAATAGGCAAGACATGAAAATTTGAGAATTTCCCAACATTTTTCGTCATTTCAAACTATGAGGACTGATCAAAATAACTATCTAGTATATAACTTAGAGCAATATTCTTATCTTGCTGAAGTAAACCCCTACAAAATATAATAATAATAATAATAATAATAATAATAATAATAATAATAATAATAATCATATAAATTAATTATTGACATAATGAACAAACAATAATCGAAATATAATTATTGAGCATTACCATTCACATTCATTGATAGTTTCATTCAAATCAAAATCATATCGATCGGTAAGAATATTTTGATAATGAATCATGATAGAAAAATCAGTAGATTGAGTTATCAGAAATCCACTCAATGATATTATGATTTTCTAACTGAGGATGAACATCGACCAATAAAGGAGAACATCATTGGCTAGTCTTAGGCTGCTTTCTAACATAGATTTCAAGTATTTTTAACTTGTTTGATCTATGTAATCATTCGAACCCTTAGAAAGTCGGTCAATGATTTTTCATTATAGATAATCCAATCTCCAATATTTACTTGTCCTTGTGATAAAAATGAAGTAGGTATTTTTCTACTATAATCATAATAAAACTATTTATACCCCATTCTTTTATAAATTGGTGAAAGAGATATATAATATCGGATATTCATTGAATATTTAACAGTGTTTGGGAGGACAATTGTAATAAACGATACTGCCATCATGTATAATTTTGTCATCCCAATAAATCGAACCTCTAACTTTTGATTAAGAAGACATTATTTTGTGATTGAAATGAAGAATAATAGAATACTAAAGATGTTGAATGTGCTATGTTTGAATGTTCTTAAATAGAGTTTGGATGAGCTTTCAAAATAAAAAAAAATAAAAATACATAGCATAATAATTTTTTTATTTGTATGTTATGTCAAATCAAGAGTTAATATCTTAAAAGGTCACTCACTGCTAAACATTTATCTAGCAAAGTCATTAAATTTTGTTTTGTATCAATAAAATCACTCAACTTAAACTTTTGTATCAAAAAAATCACTCAAATTAAACTTTTGTATCAATAAAATCATTTGACTAAATTTATCAATGTATTTTTTTGTATAAATTAAAGAAATATCATAGTGTAAGATCTAAATTACATTCTATCCCTAATAATTTAATATTACAAAAATCTCTTGAGAAGGAAAGCATCCGGATACATAGAAATCATCCAGATATATTATATTTGATACACGATAAACAAATTTTTATTGCGATAAAAAGAAAGAAATAATGTAGAATTAAATGTTGCGATATTAGTTTCCTTGATTAACGCATAACTGATCCTAATCAGTCCATATCCTAATAGGGAACAGATTCAATAATTTGAAATTTCAAAATTACATGATCTTCATCGAAGAAGATTTTTGAACATCCGTTAATATCCAATAATTGATAATTTCCTAAAAAAAACTAGATGCATGATGAATATACCAATTTATTGAAGCATTCAGGAATTTGGGCGAGCGAAGTGAATTATGAAGGTTACAAAAATGACAAAATTGTTATTGGACAATCAATTTCATTCTTGAATCTAAAAGCAACCATTTTAGATGAGTTAGAGATAGACAAGGGAAGGGAAAACATTGAAATTTGATACATCGTGGAATGTAATTAATCGCTGATGAAAAATAGCAACGACATGGGTGTTAGATTATATTTAAAAGTGAAAAAAAAGTGAGTCTGGATTTGCAATGTATCCATTATTTAGTGATAGAATGGATAAGATTGGTGGTGAGATACATAATTTTGATGGAACTTACGTAGAGATTACGTGTATCGAAGGTAGAAGAAGGTATACAAAATATCTTGAAGTGGTTGAATCAAGACTTTATGATATTATACTTCAGAAGTAGAAGTTACAAATTACATAATTGATTCAAACAATATAGATGTGAAGACATGTCAAGTGTATAAGTATAAGGCAACACTGATAGATATGATGGCGAAATATAAAATAAAGTACAACTTCAATTGCAAAGTAAAATGATTTTATCGACAAATGTATGAGATTTTTTTTATTTGCATTGTGAATTAATTTATTTGACTGTTCAGATCTGTAAATGGTGGTACATTTCAATTTCTAATTTGTGTGGTACATTTTTTTGTTTTAGAAGTTATGTAGTAGATTTTTTGTTTTTGTTTTGTTTTTGTTGATTATATGATACATTCAAAAATTTTGTAAAAATTTCGTTGAAGCGCGTCAATTGTGTATATTAGAATTCTTGAAAGAGATTAAAATTCTATTTTATTCTTGGTATTTCAACAACTGGAAAATAGCATCTTATACAAAAGGCACATTGAGGTGAAGATTTGAAGAGGTATTGATTATAAATGCATGAAAATGTTTGAAGATGAAGGTATGTATCATGATACATAATTGTATATTTATGTATTTTGTTTGGTGTATCATTTGATTCTTTTGATATGCATTGTTTTGAACTAAATTTATCGTTCACTTTTTAATGTCTGCAGATTTTTTCATCATCAGAATTTATTTTTTCGATTTATGAAACTGGAACAAGATACATTGTTTGTCTTGAAAAAAATGAAAGTAATTGTTGCAAAATTCAACTAGATGAGATTGCTTGCGCACATGCAATTATTGTTTTAAAGGACAAGAATGTTATATATATGCATCATTATTGTTCTGATTACTACAAAGCATGATGCACTAGCAAAAATTTATAAGGTTCAATGTTAGATAAAGAATATTGGTCAGTTGCTAGCAATTTTGTAGATGAATTGTGTAGCCAACTAGATACAAAAGATTTACTGGACGACCAAGAAAAAGAAGAAAAAATGCAGATGAAAAGATAAAAGTAAACACAAATAGTTGTGGTCAAGAAGGTCATAATAAAAGAACTTATACTTTCTTTTCAAGAGTAAAGTGAAATCGTTATTTTTATAAGACATTCATGCTTTTTTGAAATTTATTTGACGTAATCAATTATCGCTTTTATATTTTTCATAAATGAAGTTTACTATTAATTTGAATTTTTTGATTCAATATTTAAGAGTTCTACTGTTCTATTTTAGAATATGTTATGATTTGTGTGTTAATTTTATTTTGTTTTATTTATGACTTTTATTGGTTCAATTTAAGAAATTGTTACGATTTGTATGCATATGTTATAACCGATATACATATATTATGTTCAATTGTATCAGATACATTGTATAATGTATCATATACAATAAATCATAAATAACCAATCTATTATCAATAAGCTATGTATCGGTGTGTTGATATGATACATAATTTATATAATTAATTAATTTTCTCACTAATGTTTTTGTTCTAATAACTATGAATGATATATCATATTACATTATATAAAATTGCGTCATAAACCTTAAATCATACTAACTTATATATCAATAATAACACTTGACTTAAAATTTATATTAAGACTTTCTAATACATATTTTAGAATCAATGTTTTAGATATATAATTTTCAACTCAATAAGTTTTCACTATAATCGTAACATACACTTCAATGTATTTTAAATATTTTTTATACAATATATTGAATTGTTCCTATAAGAAAAAAAAATTTTGTTCAAATTTATGTGCATTTCTAATTGATGATGATTTAATAATACAGTTTAATTATTAGAATTGTAAATTTAGACAAATATACATTCTGATATTAAAGACATGATATATTGATATTAAAAAGTCAGACAATTTTTTTTTTTAAAGACATGCACCCAACACTTATGTTAACTTATCTTGAACATAGTAAAAAAAATACCATTTATCTATTGATAAATAAACATTATTCCAGATTAACTATCACATCATGGTCTGGTGGTGTGAAATGACCCCTAGACTTTAATGGATCATCATCATCAGTAACATATCAAGCGTCGGGTTTTACATTGTCATATTTTCATAGCTATGTTGCGTATATTGACCGGAGATAATCAGATCAAAATTATTAGATTATTAAAATTTCATCGCTAAGAAATTCAACAAATGCGGCCACAATCATAGTCCCTGCAAAATGCAAAAGATACATTATACAAATTAAATTGACATAAACTTTAAAATAAAATTTTATAAAACACACAATATGTCGCTTCCTTGGTGAATAATTTCTTGTACATATTTAACCAGTAAAGGTTGTTTTGGTTCCAACACACTTCCAGTTTCCTTGTCCTTATAAGCATCAGTCAGTTCGCTCCGAATCCTAAAAAAATCCATTGTCCTCGCAGTAAGTAGGCAACATTAAAGATAAATTTTTAATATCGTCCAAATAAATTTTTCTCCTTAATCTAGATGTTGAGTCGTAGACACGTATTAGCCTTTTTCAAAACAATAACAATCAATATCAAATGAAATTGTCTGTCACAATTCACCGGAATGTAAACATCATCTACTGAGTGCTACAACCAACAAGAATCTCAAAATCATTAACGATGTTCATCACTGACCGCTCGAATTCATATACAACAAACTCAAATGTATAAATAACTTCAACTCTTCTACAAAACAGATGTTATATGATGAACCAAACATCAAAGAGTGTGTAGGAATTTGTTTTATCTTGTTTCGCAAAATACAATGAGACAAATGAACAACAGTAATGGATATACAAAAATTAAAGCATGATACAATCTGAATAATAAACAATTGAACTTACAATAATTATTATATTTATTTCAGATACATAATACTACTATTTGTGTATTACACACTATACCTTAAAAAAATTATTTTTGTATTATATATGATAAGCCGAGATTGATACTTGAATAAAGAATTTACAAAATAATGTATGTCCATAGTTGAGAACAATACATAATTCGAACTGTTACAACAATATTTAAACTTGATACATTGATAAGAACAATTAATTTTTTTTGTATCAATTAAATAAAAAGTTTGAGAACAATTAAACTATATAATTTTATATTATATATATGGTATGTTAGTACTGATACATAATTAATTTCATTGAAACCTTATTGAAAATTAGGGTTTTATGTATTAAAAAATAAATTGTATACTGATACATTCAAAAATGATAACAGTAATATATATTGATAATCTGTCAGCTCTAATGTATAATGAATTCAAATTAATAATTAAATCAAAGATTGAACATAAAAAAATACAGAAATAAATCAGAATTACCTTAGGTAGATTAAGATAGAAAATTAAAGATGACATGTTTCTACCCTTTTTAGGGGTTTTTCAATCGCTTTTGAAGAATATGACACATTCTTCCTTACCTTCTCAATATTCACATTGGCAATTGCAGGGGATCAATGCAATTTCTTCGATCTATTCTCAGTTCAACCTGCGTATTATTGGTCATAAACACGATTGATGTTAAATGTCATTATTTGGGGAATACCTATACTGAAATAAGGAGTATAATCATAATGAATCAAGAAAAAAATATATCAACTATGAACAAAAATAATGAAATTGAAATAATACCCAAAAGGAATGAAAAATCGTTTGGCTGGAGAGTGAAATATCTTGAAACTCAAGTTTAAAATTAAACTAATAAGATTACGGGAGAAAAAATATGACGTTATTTGAGGAGTGAAAAATGGAGGAGATAGACGTGGATTAGGAGATGTGAAATTATGTATTAGGCAGATGGATTTAAAAGAGTATAAAAAGGGATTGACGAAACATTTAATAAAAGTAGGGGGAAATGGACAATAAGGTAAGTTAAGTTGTGTATTAAAGTAATTTTTTCATTATCACAGGATAGTATATTTTGTATGTCAAGTGTACATTAACGGAATCTAATTATTATGCATATAGTTAAAAAACAAATAAAGGGCTCCTGGGTTGGATCTATATCACGGCTAAAATATTGATTTAATGTGTTAACTCTATAAAATTAAGTGAATACAAAAATAATTATAAATTAAGCAAATATAATAATAATTATAAACTAAGCAAACACAATAATAATTATGACTATCACGTTTTATTTGTAGTGAAAGTTTGGTCATAAAACTTCATTAGATAATGTAAACATGGCACAACAATAACTACGAAAAGGATAACAAATCCCATGTAAAAACGCGCAAACTAATTTGTTTATCGAACTTCTCCATATTCACTGCCATAAGTTCGGTTTAAGACTTCAAATTATAAGCAACAAATAAGGGCTCGTGGGTGGCATATATTACGGATAAAATGTTTGGTTTAGTGTGTTAATCCTAATAGTTTTGTCTATCACGTCGCAATTCCAAAAGTTTTATTATTAAACTTAATATGTATATATATGGCATAAAATAATTTATTTTATTATATCAAAAAAAATTTTAATGATAAATGAAGTTAAATGATTTTATTTGTACAATGGTTAAAGTTGAGTTAGTTTATTGATCTAAAATAAAGTTTAATAACTTTTACTAAATATATTTTCAAAGTTGTGTGACCATTTGAGATATCAACTCTCAAATCAATATAATTGTGTGACAAACGCTACAAAAACATCATAAGGGATTTCGGAACCTAAGTATGCCACAAAAAAATTTAAAGTGACCAAAACAAGCCACTATTTTAGGAAGTAACTTAAATAAGCTTAGTGGAAGAAAAAATTTCACTTTATGCAGTATTCCAAACGTTTCGTTAGTCCCAAAATATTTATATTTTAATAGATGACAAATTTATTTCTTACACTTTATAAAGTGTAACTTTAAACATACACTTTATAAACGTAACGACTCTTTTGGTCGTTTTGAGTACTAGAGCTTTTTATTTCATAAATATTTTTCCGATAGATTTTAAATGGGTGTTTGAACTATTCATAATTATAATTATAAAATTAGTGAGATAGTTTTAAATAATTCAATTAGTTGGTGGTTAAAGAGAAAAACTTTAAAATTAATACTGGGTAACATTTATTATTATATTTATAATTATAAAATCAATAGGGTTTTTGCCATTCTCTTATACGGAATTAGAAAAGAAAAGAGGGGAATCAAGAGAAGCCGCATATCAAAGATAATACGACAGGTAAATTATTGAATTGATTTACACCTTGTTTGCAGACAGTACCTTATGAAATTGTGCATGACATTTATTATCATATATATATCACAAAACCGATTGAAAGAAAAAATAAAAAAAATAAAAAATTCAAGTGGAAGCGTGATGATTGGTTAAATTTTAGGTGATATTGATTGAGTATTTATTATTATTATACTTTAAAGTGGGAGTATTAAAGGGTATATGTATAGTGAATGTTTTTATGTGTTGGTTAATGTAGAAGTTAGGACATAACATATATCGATACTTGTATAAATAAAATAGAATTAAAATATGGGACAAATTGTGAAATTAATGATTTCTTAATGGGTTCTGCATATTCCTCATATGCAGTTGTTACAATTCGTGTGACTTAGGTTATTCCTAGTCCGTAAATCACTTAATTAGGTGTATTAAATTATTTAAATATTGAGTAAAATAATAAAATATTAGGTGTATTGGGTTATTTAAATTCCACTAAAGTTATGCAAATTGTAGGAATTAAGACTTACCCTTAGGTTTAAATTTTAGAAAAGAAGATTATAAGTTAGATGTGTTGTTGGGTTTGGGATGCACATAAAATAACGAAAGTGTTTATAGACTCGTTAACTTATAAATTATGCATATATACTTGATAGATTTGAAAGATTCGGAGGCATTGAAAAAAGAAAAAGTATTGGAGAAGTAACTTGCTTGACTTCAGTTCTTTGGTGGAGGTAGATTATGGTTTATTTCTATTTGATAGATATTGATATGTATTAAGTGATATTGTAAGTCTCCTATGTACTTGATTGTGTGGTTGTATGTCTTGATTGTGTGGTTTGTGGTTGACCTAAAATAATGAGATTGTTGAATTTCTAATCTTGAACCCTCTCTAGTAAAATGAGGCCTTGAATAAAGAAGGATTGATGAAATAAAATAATAAGATAATTGAATTGGAGTTTCACGTTTCGACACGGTATTATTGGATCGGAGTGTCACGTTCCGACACGGTATTATGGGATCGAAGTGTCACATTCCGATACGGTATATGGGATCGGCATGTCACGTTCCGACACAATAACATTAAATAAAAGGAATCTTGAAGTAACTTAATATACTTAACCTCAAAGAACCGATCGTCCAAATGAGTATGGTGTAGAGACATGATTCCTCATAGGTGTGCTTGATATTGTGATTGATGGTGTACTTGTTATGGTGTTGTTGTCAATGGTTCATATGTTTTGTTTCTTGCCACCTGTTAAGTATTGTAATTGATTTTATATTATTATTCAATGTATATTGGTTTCTATTTTGAGTTGGCCGATGATATCTACTCAGTACGTGTTCCTTGTACTGACCCCTACTTGTATTTTCTTCTTTGTTCTTTTGTGGAGTGCAGCAAGTGTACCATCGACTTCGACTTGCCCTCAGCTCTAGTCAGTCTCCAACACATCAGAGTTCAGGGTGAGCTATTATTTCTAGCTCGTGCTGGATTCTCTCATTCACGTCTTGATGTTTTTGAATTTCGGACATGGACCATTTTTTTACTTATTTTGGTTTCTTAAATACTCTTATACTTTGTAATTTGAGGATATATGTTTTTGATGTGATGACTTCTAGATTTTGGGGATAATAAGTGTTGAACTTTAGAAGCTTATTTAATTGGTTACATTAATAAGTTTTGGATCTTCCGCATTATTTTTGTTATTCATAGTTAAACTATTGGTAAATGTTGGGGTTTAGATTTGTTTGTTTGCTCACCTACTAGGTTAAGTGTGGGTGCCACTCACGACTCATTTTGGGTCGTGACAAAAATTTGGTATTAGAGCGTTAGGTTCGTTGGTCTCATTACACAAGTACAAGTCTAGTAGAGTCTTGAGGAACGGTATGGGGACGCTTTACTTTTTTTTGAGAGGCTATAGGACTTTAGGAAAACTCGATTCTTTCTTTCTTTCATGCTATTACTTGAATTTAATTGGTATCTGGGTGATACAAATTGGTATGTGATCTTCTCACTCTATTTCGCAGATGGTTAGAACTAGAGCAACAATTGTGCCAACACCAACACCGGCAAGACAGGGTGCATCTGAGCCAATCATTGGGGCTGTAACTCGAGGAGGAGCAGTGGCAAGAGACCTTGGTAGGGGTCGCAGGAGGACGCCCACTAGAGGCAGAGGACAAACACCTGGTTCAGTTAGGAATAGAGGAGTGACTCCTCCACCGACTGATGAGGTAGTGAGAGATGGTGAAGAAGGGGAAAATGAGCAGGTTCAGGATAAGGAAGTACCACCCAAGCCTACCCCAGAGATGATTAATCAGGTTATTACTTATCTTAGAGGGTTATCTGATCAGGGTCAGACACCTCCAGTGTTTTCTGCACCAGCACCTCAGGTTCAGGGAGTACAACATGCAGCGGCGGTGGCTCCGCGCATGGATGCATCATTGGAAGTAGGCACGTTTCCTTGATTGACTACAGGGTCTATAATGACAGGTGATCAGCATGAACTTTTCATTAAGTTCTTAAAGTTGAAACCTCCAGTCTTCAAGGGTGCTGAATCTGAAGATACCTATGATTTTCTGGTTGACTATCATGAGGTTTTACATAAGATGGACATAGTAGAACGATTCGGTGTTGAGTTTGTGACCTACTAGTTTCAGGGGGATGCCAAAATGTGATGGCGGTTGTATGTTGAGTGTCAACCATCAAGGGCACCACCTATGACTTGGGCATCATTTTCTAGCTTATTTATGGAGAAGTATATACACCAGACTTTGAGGGATAGGAGGAGAGATGAGTTCCTGAGCCTAGAGCAAGGCAAAATGTTTGTTGCTGCTTATGAGGCTAAATTTCATGCACTATCCAGGTATGCCACTCAGCTTTGCTTCAGTCCACAAGAGCGGATTCGCTGCTTTGTGAAAGGATTGAGATCAGATTTGCCGATTCCAGCCTTACAGGTAGCTGCTACAGAAAAATCCTTTCGGGAAGTGGTTGATTTTGTGATAGAGGTAGAGGGGGTGAAGCCAGACGACTTCACCACAACATCGACATTTAAATGTTTCATAAAGGAGGTGAGTTTAGTGTTTCTTACTCCAAAGGGCAGAGTTCAGGAGGTTATCCAGCCCGTCCTATTCAGTCTTCATTGCAGGCTTCAGCTGGGGGTCCATCGCAGACCAACCTGCTTTTTTCTGAGTTTGGAGGTTATTTCCAGACTTCGTCATTTTCACAGAGACATGTACTTGACTCCAGAATTTGTTATGGATATGGAGAGGCTGGACATATTAGGAAATAGTGTCCAAAACAGAGTTACAGACCCCCAGTAGTTAGAGGTAGAGGTGGTCATGGTAAAGGCCGCCATTCTGGAGGACGTGGTGGCCAAGGTAATGGTGGTCACCAATTCAGTCGGGGTGGTGGGCAAGTTGGAACTACTGCAGTGCATCTTGATAGGGGCAATGGACAGACAGGTGATAGGGCCCCTTGTTATGCTTTCCCCGAGAGGTCTGAAGCAGAGACATATGATGTTGTTATCACAGGTACTCTTTTGGTCTGTGATTGCATGGCTTCTGTATTGTTTGATCCTGGATCCACATTTTCA